AAGAAAATAAAGTAAATCAAGACACAGAAATCATAAAGTATATCTATCTATATACACACACACAAAAGTAGAAGAGTTGTGGGTGGTTGCTCCTGGGGTGGCAACCTATGGAGTATGGGTGGAGAACCCTCAATTTTAAAATAAGTTTACTATTTAACCTTTAAAACTGAACGCATGCACATATTGGTTAAAAAAAAAAAAAGAAAGAAGGAAAATTACATGTTTTACAAATGAAGGCATGAGGCTTCAGAGCTCTGATTGCATTTTTCTGTGTTCATCTTTACCCTGTTCTCTGCAGTATGTCAGCTTCTCTTGTTCTAGCCAAGTGGCTGTAGCCATTCCAGGCCTCCTACTACCATCCTTCCCTCACCCCTCAACCCCAGAGCAGCCCTCTCTCCCTGCTGTGTTCTAAAGGCCTCGAAAAGGAGACTATCAAGGTCTGACTGCAGAACCACATTATGACTGTCCTGGGCCCTAGACACTTGCAACTAATGATCTAATGTACTCTTTGTATTTTGTACCCCCCAATACTCATGCCTTTGTGGACCCCTTTTTCCATAAAACATTTTCTTCAAATTATATTTTATGACTGCATTGGAGGTAAGGATGAGTATACTAATATTATCCTTAAAGTTCTTTTTTTAAATTTCAAATTAAAATATTTTCATGTGCCCTGCAAAGGACTGTGGGCCCTAGACACCGTATATACCCTGTGGGAGGGATATGTTGTTCCTGTCTGATTGATTTAGACCCAGATGGGAGGGTTTCTTTAACTGAATCACTTAGAAAAGATCAGATTACATTGACTAGATCATAAGTTAGGGTAGGCTAACCCAGAGTTGGGAGTGTGGTTCTTCCCACCCAGATCGAATTTCTGCTATACAATGGGAGAGGGAGTGGCATGGATGCCAGAGAAATAATCAAAGTATTCCCCACAGATGTGAAGCATTTATAGATGGAAAACGAATAATAAATAACCAATTAGCATATGAAAAGATGCTGACTAGCAATTAACGGTATGAAAAATAAGACAATGAGATATTTTTCACTCATCAAAATTAGGAAAAATTTAAGTTTGATGATATCCACAGCTGATGAGGTATAGAGAAAAGGATATTTCAATATAGGAATCTAAATTGGTATGCCTTTTTTGAAGGACAATTTGTTAACAGCTATTAACATTTTAAATGTGCATACGTTCATCCCAGAAATCCAATTATTTTTTACTTTTTAGACAGAGTGTTACTTTGTTCCCCAGGCTAGAGTGCTATGGCCTCAGCCTAGCTCACAACAACCTCAAACACTGGGGATCCTCAAGCGATCCTCCTGCCTCAGCCTCTGGAGTATCTAGGACTATAGGTGCTCACCACAATGCCCAGCTAATTTTACTACTTTTAGTAGAGACAAGGTCTAACTCTTGTTCAGACTGGTCTTGAACTCCTAACCTCAAGAAATCCTCCTGCTTTGGCCTTCCAGAGTGCTAAAATTATAGGCCTGAGTCACTATGCCCAGGCCTAGCAACCTAAATTGTAAGTGTCTAAATATCTAAATAGAGAACCTATCACTTCTCAAACAAAAAGCGTGTCCAAGAATATTCATTTCAGCATTGTTCATGATAATAATAATTTCCAAGAAGGCCTACAATTACAATTCATTAATGGTAGTATGGTTAAGTAAACTATGCTAAACACATACTATAAAAAACAAAGATCAATTCACATCAACATGAAAAGAACTACAGAATATACTATTTTAAACTGGGGTGGGGGGATTCCCAAGTTACATATTGTCTCAATTGCTACAGCTGCCATAATAAAATATCAAGAAGACTAGGAGGACTCAGCACCTGTAGCTCAGCAGCTAGGACACCAGTCACATACACTAGAGCCTGGTGGGTGGGAACCTCACCTTGGCCTGCCAAACAATGACAACTACAACCAAAAAATAGCTGGGTGTTGTGGCGGGCACCTGTATTCTCAGCTACTTGGGAGGCTGAGGCAAAAGAATCGCTTCAGCCCAAGAGTTTAAAGTTGCTGTGAGCTGTGACGCTACAGCACTCTACCAAGGGTGACATAGTGAAATGCTGTCTCCAGAAGAAAAAGATGAAGACGACAACGACAACCATGAGGCTTAAACAACAAAAACTTATTTTCTTGCAGTTCTGGCGGCTAAAAGTCTCTGATGAAAGTGTCACACTGGTTGGTATCCTCTGAGACCACTCTCCCTGGCTTGCATATACTTGGCTTCTTGCAGTGTCTTCATCTGGCCTTTTCTCTGTGCATGTGGATTCCTGGTGTCTCTTCCTTTTTCTATTGTATTAAGGAGTCCAGTCCAGTTGGATAAGGACCCCACCTACCCTTAATTACTTCTTTAAAGGCCCTAATCTCCAAATACAGTCGCATTTCAGGATTTCAAAATGAAGTTCCAGGGGGAGGGGAAAAATTAAGCTCATTATATATATATATATACACACATATATATATAATGTGTATATATATACATATATATGTTTTATTTCTTTTCTTTTTTTTTTTTTTTTTT